AGGACACGTGTAGTCGTGGGTATCAGGGGGAAAGGCAGAAGAAAGCTTGAAGTGGCTCTCTGTGTCTGTGAGTGACTGAAAACACTTCCTTGGGGTTTTTTAAACTTGCAGACTGCATTAGTTAACTTATAAAATACGCCTGAGAACATCTGGAATCCAAATGAATGCAGCCAGTCCCATTGAGTTGTTAATTATGTCTACAGCATGTTAGGATTAGTTTTGAAATAAATACTCAAAGTGTAATTTGTTAGCATGTTTTTAGTCTGAAGTGAGAATGCAGATTGAAGCCTATACGACTGTACTGGCTTTTAAAGACTCAGAAAGGCACAGGCAAATATAAGTGCTAATTCAGCAGCAGCTCTTGAGAAGAGTCTCAAATAAGGTGTATTTAGCTCTGGATCCTAGGCTAGCATTCAGCAGTGATGGGGGAATGGAGAAGTGGCTTTGTTTGTCTGCTGTTATTTCCAAGTGATTGCTGAGTGATTTAACATGTAAAGAGTGTTTTGCCTTGTATTTCTAATGATTTTACCTTTGCTCCTTCTGTTTGATGTGAAGCAGACCATGTGTGTTAATTAAGAAATGTATATATCTATACAGAACTGTGCATTCAGATGCAATTTTGAAAAGCAAATGCTGTAACCATACCAGTAGAAAACACAACCAAGTATTTGTTCTCATAGTTATCTTATGGCCTAAAATATCCATTTCTGTATAAGTATAGCTTTTAAAAGAGAGAAAACGTTGGGAGATTTGTAACCTTAAATGAAATGTAAATTCATATCAGAATTAGTAGTCTGTGGCTTTGATTCCTGGTTACTGGAAAGACAACTTCTTGCTCCATGAGCTCCCGTGGTGGAGGGAGCTGGTAGAGCCTTGGAAGTTGTTCCTGGAAGCCTGGAAGTTAGTGGTGGTTCCTGCTCTGCCAGAAGCCTTTTGCTGGGAGGCTCGGTGCTAAGAGACTTGATTACACAGTCAGCAGGAATAAAGTTAATGTATGGGCATTTAGCACACAGCTAATTGGAGTTCCATATTTCCAGCCCAGGGGCAATAACACTAAGAGGTTGCAGTAAATTTTCTTCCAGGTCAGAGTTAATACACATAGTAAAAGACAAATTTAGAACAAAATTAAAACAGCATGCAGGTTCAAGAAATATACACTTGCGGTGCTTAATTTCCTCTTTGAAATATGTTTTACATATTTTTTATTATTCTATCATTGTACATACACACCTTTTGACATTTCAAAATACATATTTTTATCAAAGTATTACTTGAGGTTTCACACACGTTCAGGCCCGTAATAACGACTGAAATGTTTGTCTTGACTTACCGTGCAGCATCAAACTTTTTCTGCATGTTGTAATCTTTGAGTTACTTCTAGAACACTCTGAGGTAGGAAAGATCAAACTGTATAACCTCTTGCTGTGCCGTACCCTGTGGTACAGCATTATGCTGGTCATCAGGCCAACGCTTTCCTACAGACTTTTGCAAACCTGAAATTCTAGATTTCTGTGAAATGACAAATTCGAAGCCCAAACTCTTGTCATTTAGAAATGAATTTTCCCTGCAGGAACTTGAAGTCAACATGTTTTCTGAGTGTTTCTCTTTTAACCAACTAACAGCTGTTGTTTCAAAAGAGAAGAGAAGAGAAAGAACAAACCCCATTTTTAGAAAAACATTCAGCACAAGCTCTTATTTGAGGTCTGATGCCAGGGACGGCTCTTCCCCTAAGATTTCCCTGTGGGTGATGAGCTTAGCAGAACGATAACGGTTTGCTCCTGCAGACTGTCCTTTCTTTTGCCTGCTGCGTGATTCCTAAATCCCTCCCTGCAGAGAAGGGCCACAGAGGGGCCACCAAGACCTTTCTGCTTGTGAAGGAGAAGCCAAATAATTGCTGTCTCCATGTGCTCCTTTCCTCAGCCCCTTCCCAGCAGAGCTGTCGTGCAGTGGCTCTTCCCCTGCTGCACAGCCCCTCCTTGCTTCCCTGCCTGCTGCATCGCCACCCCTACCAGACCTTAGGAGCTCTCCTAATCTTCCAAAATGAAGGAGGGCATTTATCCTCATTTCCCCCTCCTTGTTATTAATCCTACTTTTCTGTCCTTGCCAAGATATCTATTTGCACCTTTGCTCACAACCTGCTTCAGGCTTGCTCTGCTGATGTCCCACCTTCTGCATGGGTCTCCCTTGCAGCCATCCCTGATGGGCACTGCTGTCTGCACCCACGTGACACTCTTACTGCTCTCCACAGACTTCACCTTGCCCTCTGCAGAACGATGGTGCTCACTGGGCTTCTTTGCTTCTTTGCTCTGCTTTCTTCCAACTGAGGTCTAATTAGGGAATTGTTCCTTGCTTTGTGCTTAAGGGTAAGGGGCTGAATTAATTCCCCAGGTGTTCCTCATTGAAAATGTCTTGAAAACAAAAGTAGTTACATATTTATATGCCCCTTGTTACTGCTGGAAGCATAAGGAAAGCACACTTTCCCTATTGTTTTCTGTGTTTGACATTTGCCATAGGGAAATTTATGGAGGAGCTTGGTATATGGCCCATTTGTGCATCATATTTTTATTTTGAAAACCACAGAAAAACCAAGGCCTCATTGCCACAAATAAATAATGCTCAAATATGTAACCATATAAACTCTGCCTTATAAAACTAGCTCTGATTTTGTTTCACAGCTCCCATGTCAGGCTGCTTTTGCTTGGTCCTTAGTAATGAAATGGCATCATAAACTTATTTTATGTTCTGCTCTGTAGTAAAGTACTGTGTAGTAGGTGGCAGACACAAGAAATTTATATCCTCAGTCACTTCTCTGTGAACAGTATTGTTCACAAATGAGAATCGTAGCCTCAACATGTCCAATTTTAAAAGACCAGAGAAAATGGAGATAGACCAAAGTAAAGGCATGAAGAAGAGTTCAGTCTTTACCAGCCTCTGATGACTGATGGTGTGATTTGCCTATGAAGAGTGGGAGGGAGTCAGAGGGTCTTGGACCTTCTCCTGTGCCATCTTCCAGTGAATGGTTGGGCACAGGGCTTGTGCGTGGGCATGTGCTCCTCACAGAAGCAAGCAAATGCTGAGAGGTGGTGCTAGAAAATATGAGGCTAAGCTTCTGGTGCATGGCAAATGCTGCATCTGCAGCTCACTGCTCACAAGTCCTGATGCAGACAGAAGTGGAAGGGTGAATGATGCATCACAAATAAGCCTGATACTGCAACTGTGACTAGCTGTGGCTTTGGAGAGGGTGGAAAACTAGTCATCCAGTAAGTGTCCCTGAAGATTATGATCCCCATATAAAATCATCACTTTTCTGCACTATTGAGATAGCCAGATCGTATTTCCATTAAGCACAGTAGAAGATAGCGTTAGCTTTTGGACTGCCACTGTCTTTAAACACCACCAAGAAAATACAGGGTTTTTTCCCTGCTTCAGATACTTCAGATTCTGTGGGACATTTTCCTACAAGACGTCCATAAATATACTCATGAGAGAAGTGAAAGTTAATAGGGCAAACATTGTTTTTCCTTTATGACAAGGGGTTTGACTTAAATCTCTCTTTTTCTTTTCCCTGTATCCAGGGGCTGTGACACAAGTCTGCAGGCTAAAATATAGCCCCCGACAAACACTCACAGTAAAAAAAGGAAAGCAAATGGGAAAATACATTAATGTCTCAGGGATTTGCTTTTTCTTGCTCTTCCTCCTTACTTCCTCAGTGCGTGTTTTCTGCATGAAATCCTGTGGCTGTGACTGTCACACCATGGGCAAACCAGCAGGGCAGGGCTTTCATGTTGCTGCACTCAGCATGGACCCCACAGCTATTTTGATGGGAGTTGTGGGTGGGCAGGAGGGGTGAGCTGAGCTTGGGTGGCCACTCTGGCTTTCAGATGAAGTTGTATCTCCCTCAAATGAGAGGCAGTCGGTGACTGCAGAGTTTGGACAACTGACAAAACCATCCTGAGCCTGTAACCAGAGAGCTCCAGTGGTGGGAGGAATAATAACAGACACTGAGTCGCCTCCCACTGAAAAACTAAAGGAAGAGGAAAGGCTAGCACAAAGCTTCTGGAGATAGTAACCCAAGAGCTCTGGGGCATCATGCTCCCAGTGGGAAGAATTAGTGGCTGCAGAGAAAAGGATAAATGCAGAGGTCAGGACTAATCTGGAGGACTACAAATGAGAGGAGAGGAGAGGAGAGGAGAGGAGAGGAGAGGAGAGGAGAGGAGAGGGAGCCTGGCACTTGTCTGGGTGGTAGATGAACACAAACCAGGAGTTGGTTCACCCTTGTGGACAGCAAGGCGACAGTATGGCCCTGTTGTGTCCTGCATTGGCACAGTGTGTTGTAGGTTTGTACACTGAATGTGTTGCACCTCTCTGGCCTCACCTGACTTACTGCACAGGCAGAGACCCACTGTCCTGCACATCCAGCACAGCCTGACATCCTGCTGGCTTCTGGTTCTGCAGAAGCCTTTCTCTTGCCTGTATGATACCCTCTTAGGAAAGCTGGTAACCAGAAAAGGCAGTTTCTTTTCAACTGGGGAAACAGTTGATAGAGCAGGGCCCAGCCGGTAACAAGTCAGCTTTGCATGGTTGTACTTAACTTCTCCTCCAGCCCAGAAGATCCTTGGCTGAAGATGCACAGCAAAGTAAAGAGACAGAACAAGAGCTCAGAACAGATACAGTGAGCTACCTGTGTAGCTGTTTGTGCCTTAACAGCATTGTCAGATGGCTGGAGAACCCAAATCATGTGTAAGACATTCTTCTGACCTTCTTTAGTGCTGTGTATATCAGCTCAGTCACATGCACACGGTCATGCTTGCAGAAAGGGCAGGTTGGCATCCATCACAGAGGTACTGTGTAGCATCATTCTGTGCGAAGCCCAGGGTGTATACTGGTGAAATACCTATGTTTTGCTATTCTGTTAGGTGTCACAGTAACATAGTTCTGCACAATTGCAAACAGAATTATAAAGCAGGTTTCTTTCTACCTTTATTTTTTTTCTAAAACAGGTCTGAAGAAAGAAGTGCAAAAAGATCAGGAGTCTAACAGACCAGCTGTCTCATCCCCTAAGAAATCAGCAGTAACAGCCACCAAGCTCCATTCACCAGGTATTTATGAACCCAAAAGCACTGTTTCAGGGAAGATTTAAACTTGTCGACTTTGCATCTCTTGTTAACAGACTAAAATCTGAGACCTACTATTGTTGAGTGAAGATTGATTGTGCCTGAGGTTCATTAAGCTGGCTGTGTGTACAGCAGACTTTATCATACCAATACAGGAGCTGAATAGACCTATGTTTTCTTTGTTATAACGGTGCAATCATCTCCCCTCCAAAAAAAAGAGTTGTTGCTATTACATGTTTAGGGGCACAGGAATATATTTTTTTTATCATTATAATTTCCTTATATAAAAAGAGAACAGATAGATGTCGTGAAATAAAAGACACCTCAGACAATTACCTGGAGTGATAGTGATTACTCAGAATCTACACTTACTGTTGTGCAGAGGCACTAAATTTCCTGGGCTATTTCTATACATAATTGGAAAAGGTATTATCAATAGAAATAACCTTCAGAGTTGTATCGGGGTATTGTCAACTTACCCCTCAATATCAGGCACAAACACATGGTTTTAGCATTTCTAAACAATACCTTTGTTTATTTACTAATATGAATAGAACTTATTTATATTTATGTCTAATAAGCATACATTATAAAAAGTATAAGGCACCTGAAAGCTTTTGTAAGGCTGGCCTTTGGCTGATGTAAATGCTTCAGAAATGAGTATGCATGGTCCCACTGATTTCATTGTGCTTGCAGTTTATCTTCTGTTCTGTTACGTCATTTTTCAGACTTTACTTAAATAATTTAAATGTCATCTCTACAGCTATATGATACTTGAATTACAATGAGGGGGGGTAGAACCCCATGTTTCTTCATTTAATGATAAAGTATAAAACACGTACAACAGTTCTTTGCCTCCTGTAACTTGCATCGAGTCTCCTCCCATTTACTAAACTCAATCCCTATTCTTCTCCTTCCCAACCAGCAAAATCAAGAAAATGGAAGGTTAAATTTAATCTTTTCAGGCAGCAACCAGACTCAAAATTCTTCTCTTTACTAAGATACTAGGGTAAAAAGATGCACTTAACACTGTCCTCTGAATCATATAATTTTAAGGCTATTTTGCACTTGGTGAGATCACCAAGAGAGATCCAAAGAAAAATTTGTTGTGTAAAGTGCCAGGCCAGCAGCTCACCAGTGTTTATAACGGTGGGAGTCCAGTTTAAGCAGCAGCATTGATTGTGGCTGTAGCAGCATGTTACAGCACAGCTGATTTGCTTCCACTAGAATTAGAAAGCAAAATGAAACCTAAGCATATTGGTACTGTGTATTTGTATTGTCTCAAGGAGGTCTGCTCTTCCACGGGTGACAATGTTTTTCAAGTATTAAATTTTTGGCATATCCAATTTATGAGGCCTCGAAGGTTTCTTCATTCTCATGAAAGGTTCAGTAACTCTCGATCAAACTGATTTAGGATTTCTTAAGCTTGGTTGTCTGAAATTATGACAATCTAAAATTGTTTATCAGTATAAGGATCAAAGAGGAAAATAAACCTCACCTTCATTTATTTGTTCTAAAGTAGCCTTTAGCATTCTTTAAAATAGCAACAGCAATAACAAAGTAGTAAAGACAGACAATCTTTCCGCCTATTTAACAATTTCACAAAGTAATCAAAGCAGACATTAAACAGGACAAGCAGTGAGGGTAGCTGGGACTAAGGGCCACTAGCACAGCCTTTCCTCCATCAGGACTGAAAACTCATACGGCATTTACACTTTGTGATTGGAGAGCATGTGTCCCCCATGCAACTCCACCACAGCTACATGTGGCCATGGAAGAGACTTTAAAATTCCTGAGTGCTGTTTCTATGTTGTTTCCCCTCTACTACAGGCCTTCTCACATGAAGTTCCTTTTAATCAGCACTGGTTTTTGTCTGTCACATGATTTTTTCTTTAGCCTTGGGTCTGATCTTTAGAACCTGTATTAGTCCTCTTGAAGACTTGCAGTGGAGTTTTGAGATGCAGAGCATTGCAGGTATCTCAATTTTATCTATTGATGCAATACCATTCCTGAAATCTCTGTATAGGAGCAGGTGTACATAGATGCAGGTGCTCTCCTTGTGCCCCACCGCAGGACAGTGCCATCTGTTTCTGACATCTGTCACTCTACAGATTGCTTGTTATCAATCCTCTCAAAGTAATTTCCTCACTTTCCTTACAAAATGTTGGAAATTGGACAGTTAAAAGGCAAATAAATTGCATTCCCCATCTCAGTCCTCATGGACTGTGTTAATTATGAGTATATAGCTGTTATGTCTCCTTAGTTCAAACACGCAGGTAGATAAAAAAGACCTGGGAGTTTTGCAGCGGATCAAAGGGATTCAGTGATTTCAGCATACAGTGGGTCTGCTCCCCTGGTCCCACCATCAGCAAAAAGGGCATTCAGGATCAGGGCCAGCATCATTAATATATACCCTGTTTTGTGTGGAGCAACAGAAGAGAGACATCAATGGCAGAATAAGCTTAGTAAGCTATTTTCAGACCTAAATGAACCGAGAAATTCAGATTTATCCCTGAGGAGAGTGGCACAGTTTAATTTACAAGGACAGCTTATAATACTGACAAGGACAACACAGAGATGCACATTTCAAATGTTCCAGTGAACAGGAAAGCTAGAGAGATATAAGACAAAACAACCTGATGGGTTTTTGTTTTAATTAAAACTGGACTGATTTCAAGGGCTTCCCCCTACACTTCTCCCTATGCCTTCTGTTGTAACATCACCACGCTGCCTAAACAACCCGAGATCTTTATGCTAAAAAGACAGATACTTATGGCTGTTGCTTTTATTAATTTCTTCTTTTGTGGTAATACCTACTGCCCAGTTAAGAGCCCCTTTAAATGAATGAAAGAATCTGAAAGAAAATATCATTCCTGCACAAAAAGGTTTACAGACTTTACCTGACATGAAAATGCATAGAGGGCAATAGCTGGTTGAACTCTCTCAATGAGAGAGTGTTTGCATTGTTTAGGTCTTGTCACATCATGAAGTTAGTCTTGACATGTTGTGAAACCTGGTATTCCTCTCTGCAAACACAAGTCATGTGCACAAAGAGTCTCCGAGGCTGTTTTGCACCCACGGCTCTTTGCAGTTGCAGCATGAGATACTTGGAGACACGAGGGAGAATCTCTGCTGAAGCTAGATCCCTGTAAGCTCAGCCTGGAGCCAGAACATAGTTGAGCAAGTTGGAAGATACGCTCCCAGTGGCTCCACACAACCTGGGGATCTGAAACAGTAGGAATACGCTCCAGGGGTATTGCTCTGACAACCCATACTGCTTCCCTGCCTGACCTAGTAAAATTGCCCTAAGGATCCATTTTCACACCCAGGCCACAGTATTAAAGATCTAAAATATCTAAAGCACATCTGCCAAAATTACTTCTGGAACATTGCTTTACTTTACAAATTGGGTCAAACTCATACCATCAGATGCATCTCTGTGAAAGGATTCTTCTGTTTTTTAGGAAAGGGAAGGTAGTATCCATGGCAGAATACTGTCCTCTGTTACATTAATTGCTAAGGACTGGCTGGAGACATTGTTTCTGTATTATTTTTCAGAAACTGTATGCTACAAGATTTTAAAAGTACGAGATGACCTTTTCTTTCAAATTCTTGCATAGTCAACCCTTTCTACTAACACAGAAATGTTCATTTTTCATCTGTATCCAGACCAGTGTCTCTCATTTCTAGTAACACATGGGAACAAGGTGTCTGACTTTTCTCCCTCTTTCTCACTGCCTCTAGCTCCTAGGCTAAATGCTTGAGACTAGTGAGAGGAGCTGAGGAAGAGAACCAGAGATTCCTGGTTCTCTGTTCAGGAATAAGCTCAAAAGCATCAGCTGAGGAGAGACTGAGAGTAGCAGAAAGAATCGGTAAGCTGTGCAAAGGTGTTGCTCAGCTGACCATAAATGTTTGCAGAGGTGAGTTCTCAGAAAGCTTAGAAGATAAAGACAAAACAGATTGTCCAAGCAGTGGCTTGACCGACCTGACACTACCAGAACACTGCCCCTTCTTGCTTCATCCTCATAACTCAGTATATCCAGAGAAATTAATAGTTGACTCAAGCAGGATATGAACGTAATTCAGGATGAAGCCTCACCTTCCCTGAAGTAGCTTATCATGAGTAAGCTTTAGTTCTTGTGCCATTCATGTGAATATAGCTCTGAATTTGAGCTGATATCTTAAAGACAAGCCACACTAGTGGTTTCACACCTTTATAGAGGATCAGGCTTGCTTCAAACCAACTTGGACCACATGAAAAGAGCCAGAGTCTGTCTGGACCCATTTGTACAGGCAGACCATAGAGTGATTCTTGTATGACCGATGGTGCAGAGAGAGAGCTAGTGGTGTAACCAGTCAGCGTTACATGGCACCTGGTGGCATTTCTATGCATATTTGTTTTCTGCTGAAATTTTGAAGTGTTATAAAGGGGAGAACAAGGGGAACTGGCACGGGAGACTGCAGTAATGTTGATAAAAAGAAATAGCGATATTCCCAATAGCTATATTTGCATTCAGGAAAGGACTGACAGCTCCAGCCCCACATTGTCGTATTTGGAGGCAAAAGGAAATCTGCAAAGACAAAGTAAATCTGGCACCTTGAGGTTCAGGTGACCAAAGAAATCATGCGTAGAGTATAAATATCATCTAACTGTTTTCCACATCCATAACAAGATAAGGTGAATCTCAACCTGGAAGTGTCCATTTCTCTCACTGCCTTTCAGGAGAGTCAGCATCACATGTCAAGATGCAGGCCTCTTGTAGATGTCTGACATAGGTGAGATGTATCCTTCCTCTAATGATCTCTATTCTCAGTAAGACACTTTTAGGACAGCTCTCCTCAACTCATAGCAGGCCTTCAGGCTCAGAGCCTGAAGTCAAATGACTGTTACAAAGCTTTGAGCTTTGGTCCCTAGGGAAAAATATTTTGCTGCGCTCTTCCTTCTTTGAAAGTCATTACAGACCTGTGTGAATGCTACAGACCTTTTTTCTTTTATAGGACTGAGACCCTAAGACGTTAGAAACACATAAAGGTCATGTTCATACATTTAAAGTAAGTGACCATGACAGTCTTTTCTTCTCTCCTTTGTAGGACATCCCAAGCAAAGGCCAGCCACCCCAAAGAATGGATTCTCCCCCAAACCAGGAGAGAGTCGAGATGCTGAAAAGCAGTTTGTTCAGAGACTGAAGGAAAAGTGTGATGAGCAGTCCCGGCAATTAAGCAATATTCGAGATGAGCTTAAAAAGACCAGCTGTGGATTTGATGTCTTTGCTATAACAACACAGCACTTTTTCATGCAGGTAAGTGCAATCTGTACTTTTTACCATTGGAAAGATACCTTGCCTTTACACCAGTCACTTTCCCAAATGAATCCACAGTCATTGAAACTTTGTTCGTGGGACCAAAGCATCTTTGCAACAGTTATTTTGAAGAAGAAATTATTATTTGATGCCATGTATTTGAAAATCAAAGTTCAGGAACTTGGAAGAGGAAGAATTGTGACTGAAGCATTTGTCACAAGCACAGAGGGGTTTCAGGATGTTTTTAGCAGTGAAGCAGATGCAGAAACTTAGAAGTCCAAGTCCCCAACTGCTGCAGCTGAAATGGAAAGTGTAACTGAGATATCGATACTTGTGAACAAATGCAAAACCAATCCATGCATTGAGTCAAACAAAGGTGCTGGATGAAGGAAAGATTTGCTTTCTCACAGTACTTATCTACTGTTACTGTTCACCACAGATGAGGCAGAGTTGTCCCTGTTACAGACCTGCCAATTCCTGAAGACGAGAGAATAACATCATGTTGCATTTAGAATAGCATAGGATAACATTAACATAGCATTTAGGAGATTACGTTCAGCAGATACAGAGAGCATACAGAAAACATTGACAATAATTAGAGAAGCTTATTTATTCACTAAACCCAAGACAAAAAGAGAAAAGTTTAAAAGATGACCACAGTAACTTGTAGGTGTTGTTTGTTTCAAGGGCTGTTTAGTGATCTGGGAAATCTAGCTTGGGTCTGAGGTCCAGACCTGGTTCACCTGATGTCCATGTATTTTATACCATCCCAGGTTAAGCTGGTGTCCCAACTACTTTGTAAATCAGGCAAACGATCACCAGCAGTAGAACCCAAAGTTTGGATAATATCCTTGATTGCCTGCTTTTCTACTCTGGGAAGAGACAAGAGTAAGCTTTCAATATTAAAATGGGAGAAAGAAAACAAAAAAAAAACCAAACCAGAGATTCAAACAGTCTTTAAAAATTCTGAAATACTTTATTCAGGTGTTGTTTTTTTTTTTTTTTATATTAGTGGGAAAGTTTACCTTTGAACAAATACCGTAGTTCATACTTTTCCCCAAGTGGGAGATTCTGTTGCTGGGGGGAGCTTCACTGAACTGAAAAACCAGGGAATTTTTAAAAAGTACTAAATATTTTAAATTCCTTCCCAGAGGATTTCCCCCCTCTATTTTTCTTCAGTCTTGACGTTTCTGGGTCTGATGGACATTTGTAAAGCTTTTTTTTTTTTGCCTTTTTTTTTGGAGCTGACTGTGGAATGTCCTTGATTAAAGCAGAGGGAAACAAAAAAGGGCAGAGCAGTGTCTACTCAGCTTTGTCTGTGCGTTGTCCACTGGGGAGAGATTTTTCATCTCGTGCCTCTCTTTGCTGAAGGAATTCTGGAAGCTTGGGCATATGTCCTTCATCTCCTCTGGATATGTTTTAAATGAGAACAGCTGCTTCAGCTGAGCTTTGAAACGACTGTCATCCTGTTGGTGCATGTTAGATCTGTCCTGAGAATGCCTCCTAAATTGAAAACCTCAGGGGACTTAATTTAATAGAGTCCTCTCTAAGTCCTGGCAGGGCATAGCTGTTCCTCCCGTTCCCAGTTCCTCTGCACTGTCAGGCCAGCTGTGGGGAGGGATTGCAGTAATACTCATTTGAGTGCCTGGAGGGCTTGGAGGTAAAAAATACTATATCTGTGGAATTTAAGCACCTTCAGGCTTGGTCAGGATTAGATGTAGGTTTTTTTCAGACCCACTGTTGGACTCACCTGTTTTCAGCCTGAGTGTCCATCCCTTCTGGGCTTGTCTGGTCACCCTGGAGTGTATATATCACTGTTCAGCACAGTGTAAGACACCTGTGACTTGCTGCTCACTGCTGGAACCATTTAACATGGACACCTCCAAGGCAAAGACACCCCTCATAGTCATCATGAGCCCAGCAGTTGCCCATTAGGCTCTCAGAATTGGTACCTGTGTTAGGAATACAGTTGCTTTAGGCTCCATTTTTGGTGAATGGAGGCAGGTAAGCACTTCCAGAAGACTATTTACAGCACCAAAGATCTGAATTTCTGCTCGAGGTATTTCCCTTCTCAATTGAGGCCTTCAGGGAGGCCTAAGGACACTGCATTTTGAAAGTCAATGCTTAAATTGGGAGCCTACATGTAGTGGGATGACCTGGGACTACTCAAGCAATTGCATAACTGGGGAGTCTGTTGCCTTGCAACACAGACACAGACTTCCAAGTTTTTGAGTGTCAGTCGAAAATCTAATCTGTAGACATTTTCTGAGGTGGCATTATTGTTTGAAAGCTTGAGCAAAATTGTATTGGCTGGCTTTGAGTTAGGGCAGCATGGAAAAAGAAACTTTTCTCATTATAAAAATAATAGTAATTGTGTGTGTTTCTGAGAAGCCTGCAGGCAAACTGGTTGAGGTCTGAGTAGAACTGCAGTTTAGCAAGGGAATAATACTCATCCAGGAACAAGGTGGGGCCTTATTTCGGAGAAGTTTGGGGTTGATTTGTCCAACTGGCAGTTCTACTCAGACCTCAAGCCCAGCAGAGGGCCCAATCCTACTTTGGTGCTAGGGAGCCTCTTTGGGCTGATGGTCACCCATAGCCTAATTTTAGTATGTCTCTCTCTCCCTACACCACACTAAAATAATGTCCAATACATAGATTTTTCTCTGAATTGGAGCTGAATTCTGTTGGAAAATGTCCTACCAGACAGCGAGGACTGGACTGAGTCTTAAAAGCAACCAAAGGACCGGTGTTTTGTACACAGGTAGGAGTCTCCCCATGCCCGTAGCTCTGTCTTGCTCACATTATTTCTGTTCTCTTTCTAGAGTTGGGGAAAGCATCAATGCAAACAGTCCAGCAGACATGTTTAGCTGAAGAAAGAGAGCATCAATATGTAGTACAGAATGTTGGCCCACACCAGCAGTTTCTTTGAGTGCTTTCCAATTTTAAGCACTTGCTGAGGCAACCTTTAGGTTGCATGACTATTTTCTTTGGGTTTTGTTGGATTATTTTTTTTTGGCTAGTCCAGACCACTGCTGAATTGTATCCTGGAATCATATCTCTCTCTCTCTCAGCTGAAAATGTTCTTAATAGGCAAGATTCATTAAATAGGCATCGAGGAGTGCACAATATGTAGCAGTACATAATACAGACCCATTAAATGACAGCTAAACCAATTTGCTATCTAGGGAAAAAGCCTGGGCAATCAAAGCGGGTGATGACTGAGGCAGTGGACAAAAAAATCTAAAAACAGTGGTTCTGACATAAGCATTCAGCTAGTTATGAAAAATAATGATTGCAGTGCCTGTGGATAGCATGGCTTCTAATTATTATTTAATTAGCAAGTTAATTAGTTAAGGTTCTCAGGTATGCATGCATGACTCCTGTTGACTTTGGGAACCGCTTCAAACTTATTCTGAAAAGGTGCAGATTGGGTTTGTCCTTAGTGTTGGGTGTTCATCATGCCAATATCAAACCTTGTGCTGTGAGGGATTCTCCAAAGTGAACAAGTGACTGGCAGGAGCTGGAGTGATGAAGTGAAGAGGATACCATGAAAACTTTCTAAAGCAAATATTGCGAAGGGCTCCCCCCGACTTGGGTTGCTCCTGACCTGGTCTGGCTTGTTAGCCCCGCATTAATGATTTATTATTATTATAATTAAAGTCCCGGGCCAGTTTCACCCCGTTCAGCAAAGTGGCCGGCAGCAGTCCTTCTTAGAAGTGGTAACAGTGCCATCTAAAGGAGAGTAGCACAAAGTGACGAATTCTGGATGGTTAATCCTTCTAGACACAAATAGGGAGAAAAAAAAAAAAATCCCCTTCATATCTCTAGTACACTCAGAGCAGATGAGTTTGTGTTGAGAACTGTGGGGGCCAAACTGGTGCTGAGGAATAGAAACCAGTCTAATGCCTTTCTGCCAGTACAGCATGCCTGGACAGCTGGAAGGAGGAGTCTGGCTGCAAGTTCTGCCTCTGAAATTTGAAATTAGGACTCCAGATCTACAGTGCCTGTGAGGGGAAGGGATCCTTTCTGGGCTGCAGACCCCAAGGGAGGGAGCAGGGAAGGGAAAGGGTTATCCTGGGGTAGTCTATCTCATGATCTGCATGGACATGGAGGGGTTCCAGACTTGCAGCACAGCCCTGCGATCTTTACCACTGGGGAAAACTTCTCAGGCCAGGTCGCAGAACCGGGACATAATCAGATCAGCTGTGAATCGGGGAACCACACAGGTGCCCTGAACAAGGGTTAGGACAGCACTGCAGTACTTGATGGCATCCCAGCATTTTGCCTACCAACATTGGGAAAGACGTGTCACTAGTAACCAGTGTGTGTGTTTGTCTCTGCACCTGAGTGTGGGTTAATTTTGGGAGGCTATACAATACACGTCTTCCAGACAAGTGCACACACAGAGTAGCATCATGCAAAATCTAGGATGGATGAGGAAAACCTTTTCCCCCATTCTAATAACTGGGATATATGTGCATTTTTCAGAGTAATGTTTCTGTCCTGTGAATAGACAATATACCCCCCAGTGTCATGTAACTACCTTGTCCAAGTGCTAACGACCTCTTGTGTTAGAGACAACATTGGTTGCACTGGTTATAAATCACTTGGTGCTTCCCACCATTGCATCCGAAGAACATTTCAAGAGCTTATCTCAGGCTGAGCCAAAATCGTTTATTTGTACAGCTGTCTGTGAGAATGGGTTTAGGAGAAATATATCTATTGTTTGTGCCTGGTAGTGGCACAATGGTAAGAAGTCAACACTCATCAGAAAGACTGACCTTCTGGCTTTCAGGGGTAGTACTTTCCCAACATTTGCAAAATGTGTTAGATTTTGGCCCAGGAATATTCCTTAGAAAAGAGGAACTCCTCCCTTATCATTATTACAGCTTGGGTAGATTTCCTGTTTTCAGCAAGTTTAGTCTTTTCTTTGCTCCTGCTGGAGACCAGAGCAAACAGAACAACTCAATCTTTTCATTTTGTATCCTGGAAAAAATCCA